CGTGTAAGGCAAAAATTTTTAGAATTAGCATAAGTATATAGTAAATTCAACTTCCTCACAATGCTTGAAAGATGGTTTGAAAGAAGAAAAAGGGTAGAAGGAGAGGATAAGGAAGGGTCAGTGGGAGAGAAAGAAGAGGAAAAGAGAGAAGTGGGGGATGAGGGAGAGGGATAATTAACTGAAGAACTAATTCTATGTCGCTTTTATTAACTCATCACCATTGCGTATGTAGAGTGCATACACGACCAGGCGGTAAATTAGCATTACTGGAAACATCGGCATAGCCAGATGAGCACACGCAAGTGTATCCATCCGGCAATGTCACGCAATCAGCGTTCTCGTCACACGAATTCGCCAACTTATCGGCGCAATGGTTTGTTGCTGCAATAATAGCTTCAGTGTATTTCATTTTTGGCAAGAATAAAGACGAAAGACTTCTAAAAAAATCTGGGAGTTTAATCCTTGTAAAAAATTCTAACACTGCTAATCCAGCAACCAGCGACTGGTTGAGGTTTTGTTCTCCTCCTGCGTATAGCCTTTGATCCAAAACGTGTAGCAGAGGAATTACTCCTGAGTAGTAAAGAAAATGCCAGAGCTACAAAATTGCCAATTGCTGGAGTCGTGATTGCTTTTGCAAAAAGTGGCTTGGTTCTTGGCTTCGAGCGAGAGAAGTGAATGGAAATTTTGGTAGGCTGAGAAGGTGAAATAGTACTTGTCAATACGCATTCATTCAAAAGATTATGGTTTAATTTGTGATAACTAATAAATTACAGTAATAAACAGAAGTTAAACAAAGGAACGCTGAGCTGGAATGTTTCGGTTCAGTAACTTGTGTACATTCCAAATCAATACCACAACAGAACCTCGTCAGTACGACGGCTATGGCAGCAAATAATGATATGAATTTTAAGAATATTATATCAAAAAGTTAAAGGAAACTAAAACAAGGCTTACTCTGAGCGCAGCGTCGTCCAGGCTTCAGTCCATATCGTGATGATACGTCCGTGTAACCAGTGTTGCACTGGCACAAAAATGATTCCAACGTATCGATGCACATAGCGTATGGTGAACAGTCATGTGTATGCGTACCACACTCATTGATCACTGCAGCGTGTCCATACTTATAATTACTGTATGTCCATACTTATAAATCCGGTTTATAAACTTAAGCTCTCCTTCTCTTTCTTTTTCACTTATCCTTCTTGCAAATTAGTTACATGTCCTTTCAATACATGGCGGGTAGGAGGCTGTAC